TATTATGAAAATCATGATCTTTAAAAAGAACTATCATCATTCTTAGAAGTCTATAAAGCACACTGCAGGGCAAATCCAGCCTGCTACCTGCTTTTGTAAATAAAGTTTTATTGGAACACAGCTTCACTGACTCTTTTATATATTTTCTATGGCTTCTCTTGTGCCACAGGGCAGAGTTTGGTAGTTACAAAAGAGATCATATGGCCCATAAAACTGAAAAACTTTACAGTTCTTTGCAGAAGTTTTCCTGACATATCTTATCAAGAATTTTTTTTTTCATGTAAGTAAGTTTGGTTTCATTTTCACACACACACGCGCGCACACACACACAGACACACACATTGCTTAATATGGCATATTTTGCAACACAGACCATAAGCTTAACAGAAGACCTTCAAGAATAATAACAAGTGTTATATTAGTAACACATGAGAAATTCATGACACAAGTTTTCTATTATGTAAATCTAGTACCGTGAACAGTAAAGTCCTCAGAATTATTTTAAACTCAATTCTTAAAAGAATAATGAGCTCAGAGCTGAGATTTATTTCTGGTGTGTATTTTAGGGGAACAAAATCAGTATTACATTATCCCTGTTGTGTCTCACAGCAACGAGGGTGACAAAGCTGCCCAGAGTTGTCAGTGCCAAACACATTGCGGAAGCTCAAATATTAATCAAAATGACATCTCCAATTTTTTCCCTTCCTAATCAGGCCTAAACATCATGGGACATCCGGCAAATCAATAAGAGAAACTAGATGCCCTCATCACTCCCAACCTGGCAGCACTGCATTTTTAGCCAGAAGATGAGGGCCTTCACTGTTACATAAATACTTCCCTGCTTTGGTTGTTTGCCTCCCCTGGGGATGAACATGCCCACCTATGGCTCCAAACTTTACCCTGGCATGCATCCGACTATGCCACCTGTCACAATAAGAAACACTTCTTATGATTTCGAGATAAAATAGGAATGTGGACATATGGCTCTAGAGTATGCTTGTGCATCCTACCCCAGAGAATAAATAAATGAATACATAAATCTCATGAATAAAGTGAAAATAGGCTGTTTTAAAGGGTTGTGAAAAACTGACAATCTCTCATATTCTGTCCTCCACACCTGGGGAAGGTGGCACAGGGACTGACCTATGCCCCACCCTCGACCTTCTACAAAGCGGGCTTCTGGCACAGTTGAGAATGAATTACGTTTAGCTTCAGTCCCTTTCCCCTGCCTTTTCTTTCTAGGCCCCTTTCCCGCAAATCTGTATCCCACTGACACCTCCTATTTTCTCTCTATGAGCTTTGGAGTGCTCTAATGCTGGAAGATCTGGAAAATGCTTTGTTGTCAGTTTATCCCTCCTTCATGTATTTAGAGGAGGCAGAGTACTGGGGAAATGGAGCAGGGAGTAAGTCTAGTCGCACATGGAACTAAGTGTGAACCTTCTAGCAAAGCTTAAAGGAAAAAAAAAACCCAGGAAAATTGCCTGGAGTAGAAAATACATAGACTTACACCTGAGGAGATGAGACAGGCCCCATAAACTCCAGAAATCGTAGGGGAGAGTTGGAGAAGAATGCTACCTACAGTTGGGCAGCCATGATGTAAAAGCCACTACATGGGTCAATGTTAAGGTAAACTCATTTTTACTCAGTCTAAGGTCCAAGAAAATTTGTTAGTTAATTCATTCATTTACGTATCCATGTGCCAGGTAAATCAGTGAGCAAGCACATTCTATAGCCTCATAGGCCTCTTTCAAATTGTTTTGGCCTTAGCTGGTATTTTTCCACTCATTTTATGAAACTATAAACAGAAGAGGTTTCCGATCCTGAATTTTCTCACTTCTACAGAGAAATGATGCAACAGACATCTAGCACAGTGAATGTGATGGAAGTATTTTAGTCAGATGAAATCCAGCTAAGGAAAGAAAAAGTAGTTCATTACATTTTAAACAAAATTGGAATTGCAGAGGTTAAAGGCAACCCAAAATAAAGCCAATACCAAACACAGACTAAAAGGAACAACATAAACTTATGCAGAAAGGATGAGCATGGTGAGGAAATTTAGGGTGTCAGCCATGTGCACAGTGTTGGGGATTCAAATGAGATTGCTAATGGGAGGATATTTTGAAAAACTGAAGAGGCACATCACAAATATGAATGCATTTATGTAATTATTAGTAATATTTTCATCAATTATAAGTTCCATCTTAGGTTGAGTTAAGCTTGTTTATGAAGTATTAATGTAGATAACCATGAGATAAATAGCCTCACAGTCTCATTTGAAACAAACATTTCATAGTTTTATTTGGCTCTAAACGTGTACACATTATTTGATATGGAAATTCTATTTTATTTTTTATTTATTTTGAGAGACAGAGAGAGTGAGTGGGTGAGGGGCAGAGAGAGAGAGAGAGAGAGAGAGAGAGAGGGAGAGAGAGAATCCCAAGTAGGCTCCATACTGTCAGCTCAGAGCCTGATGCGGGGCTCAAAACTCATGAACTGCGAGATCATGACCTGAGCCAAAACCAGGAGTCAGATGTTTAACTGGCTGAGCCCCCCAGGGGATCCTGATATGGAAATTCTAAAATAAACCTTTTTTTTAAAGGAAAAAATATACATGACCAGCTGTAGAAGATTCCCAAGCTAGAGTATGGTGGTCCATAGTGGCCACAATAGCAATTACTGACCATTGACAACCTACTCCACCCTTTCCCTACTCCTCTGCATCTGCTCTGTGCCCCTGCCTAATGCCTAGAACTGAATGTCCCTCCTCTCCGACTTGCAGTTGGATCAAACTAATGAATGTGATTGCAGAGGGAGAGAGAAAATAATTTCTTCCAACTCTTTCTTTGTCTCAGTCCTGCATCTCTGGGAGGAGCTGTTTGTCTTCCATGACTTCAGGGAATGAATGACCATTCCTCCATAGCCTCGACTCTCACAGGGTTCCACTAACACTATTTTCTCCTCTTGTTGCTTCAGCCCTAGGGAAGTGATAAGAGCTTCCTGATACTACCAGTGTCTGGGTGATGGGAGCCTCACTATCCATTCCTTATCTGTTCCCTAAGTCCCATCCACACCCTTATAAATAGTCCTTTCATTAAAGTCTCTCCATTTGACCTACCCAGGTTAAATTCAATTTTCTGCCAGGACCATGACTGAAACACAATATAGGCATCTATTTATTGACATAGGAAGATGTGTGACAAAGCAGATCAAAATATTAATAGCAGTTATCTTTAGGCAGTAGGATAGGATTATTTTCTTTTCTTTATTTTTTTCTGTAGTTTTCAAATGTTCTACAATATTTAGTTATGGATTGGGGAGTACAAAAATAATAAAATTAAAATGCGATGTGGGAATAAATACAGATTCAAGACGTACTAGTGGCTTGGCTTCCCCCCTTTACTGACCACCCCATCAAAAACTACATAAATAAAAAATTGCACAGGCTGAGAGGTATCCCGATGGGGCAATGGAAGTGTAAACACTTGTCAGTACCCAGAAATCTCTTTATTCTCACTAGATTCTATTTTCTAGGAAAAATAGGTTTGGTTAGCCAGTATTCACAATTTCACAACTGAAAACAATGCAATTGCACATATTTATAAGTGCATGTGTTTGACAGACTTAGATTCCACAAGCAGAAATCAAGATTTTACTGCATTCTTTGATCATATTAATAATAGTTAGCTATTACTAAGGCCTTAACACCTATAGGCACTGTTTACAAGCATGGTCAGTATTAGTTAATTTAATCCTGACAGGAGGGTGGTATCATTACTCCCATTTCATAGATGAAGAAATTGACATGCAGTGAAGCCAAGTTATTGCCCAAGGCCAACCTTTGTTAGCAGGTCCTGGAAGCAAGCCCAGGCTTTAGAGCTCATTTTATCCATTATACTCCATTGTCACTCAGGTTGATAGATTACCTAAGAATTCTAAAACTCTCCTAATTTTGTGCATATTGTGCAAAGAAAGACAGGGCCCTCATACTGGTTCACCACTTATTAGCAATGTAATCTTGCACATGTACAAATCAGTTACAAATTCATCATCAATAGAATGGGGAATAAAACCTCCTCCACCTACACTAGAAGTTGTGATAATCTAATGGGAAATGAATATAAGGCCATCAAAGCTGTAAAGCAAGGTACAAACGTAAGACAGAATTATATTGCACCCTCCATACACCAGTACATTAGTCATCATCATTAACACATGAAAGTCAAATGTAAAGAAAATAGCAATTATTTTGGTGAAGTATGACTCTAAACTATAATATTATAAACTATCCAGTCTGTTAATAACCCCCAACATAAAACCACCACTGATTAATCAATAAATATCATGCTATGATTTCAGTGAAATGTACTCTCAAGCACACTCCCCTGACTCCCGTTCATTAATTACCTTGCCTTATTTGATAAGTTCCCAGCATCTGCCTGAAATGTGTTACTCTCAATCTTAAGTTACACTGTAAAACTTTTTTTTTAAACTTTGAAGTTCAAACTGTACATTCTCCACACGACGACGTCAAAAGTTCAATTGAGCCACTCAGTTTTCAGTTTCCCTGACTCAACTTTTTGCAGTTTTGTAATTAATTATATTCCATTATTACTGATCATCAATTAGCTCAAAATGTTGCTGAGATCATGAGTATGCTGAAGAAGGCAGAATTTAATGATAATTTGAGACTAGTAGGACACTAAATTTCTCTCTTGTTAATAATTAAAGTAGATAACTTATGTTTTTATTTATAGCTTCCAGAAATATCTGGCTCATTCCTGTGCAATGCTCTGTCAGCTAATCATCAGTTGGTCAAGATCTGACTTGGGCCACTGTGTTTTATTTTCCATACATGCCTTCAACCAAAGCCATTAAACGCAGCCCAACCAAAGGTTAAAGCAGGTGAGGTGGTCACCATGTAGTCTCTGGAACTCTCCACCCAGCCAAATGCTTTGATGCATAAATATGTAAAGAATCAAAGGGGTAACGTTCCAATTTACCTGTTTCAATTTCCCAGATGTAAGCGGAGTCGTCAGCACATCCAACAATTAAAAAATTCTCAGCTGGGTGCCATTTTATCATCCTCACAGGGAAAAGGTGCTTCCGGGCATGCAGGAGGCACCTCTTCCCCTCAAGGTGAAGGAGAGCCACGGAATGGTCACTGCACACACAGCAAATTACCTGATCACTTCTTAGCTATGGGAAAACAAAACAGAACAAAATAAAACAGATTTATTTGTAAGTGAATAATCAAATGCTTTTCTTAAAATTAAATGAGATTTTCCCCCCTAGTGACATAAAAATATTTTGTTTAAACATGATTTACAAAATGACATTTCTGTTTTCTATAGGACCTTTTCACATAACACTATAAAGAGGGGTTTTAAACACCAAGTCGATTTTAAATTCAGCAACTTATTAGGAAAGTCAAGAGACACAATGAAAAAGGAGAATTCCAAGCCAAATCTACTTATAAGATAAATGAAGGACTTGACCATCACTCAGCAAATTCAGGCAGCGAGGCAGACATCGGAAATAATGCAGAATAAAATAAACCCCAGAACTAATTTGTTGCCACAAAAAGAAGCTATTTGTAGACACAAGCTTAGGCCCAAGGGTATCATGAGCTGCTATTTTCCACTTAGAGCCTCAGAATGTGATTTGGTGTTCCCAGAACTATTCAGATTCTAATCCAAACAGGAAACTCAGTGTAGACACAATCTAAAAGAGGTAAGCATTAGATAGTTCCAACTGAATGCACAGCTTCAAAGACACAAGGATCAAAAATAGGCTCACAGGACAAAGATTCTTAAGATACTTTTTAAAAAGTCAGCATGTGGTTACCTTGAACACAGTTTAGGACAAAGACCATACATGCTGGTTGCTGTGAGGCTAATCTGGGAGGAGTTTACAGGGCAGGTCTGTGCCTCACCAAGAGGGCCGTGTGTTAGTCAGCCTGTGATGGGGGGTGGGTGGGATGGGGTGAGGAGGAGAGGGGGAGTAGGTAGTGGTTCTTCTGCCTCTTTGCTTCCTTTCTAACCATTTTTTGCAATGTGGATGCTCCTACCTTCACTAGGGTACCTAGCCAGAGTTTCAGCTGCTGTGTTTAAAGCTTTCGTTGGGATCCCCTGAGAACCTCCCCATGCCCATTACTGATCTCTTTCTGTGGGGTGTTGGGGAGCAAGTTATTTTTCCTAATTCTTTCTAAGGAGACTACAAAAATCCCGAGGGGAAAAAAAAATCACAAAATGGCAGGTGTGATATATGGGGAACCCAGACACGTAGAATAAGGCAGATGGCATTGCCTCCCTACTACTATTACCTGTTAGAGAACCAGCACAGCCCACAGCTTCTAGAATAGAGAGCCCAATGTACTTCAGGAAAATTATACTTACATGTAACATGTGAACATACACACAACATGTGAACACAGATCCTATAGCCAGAGGTAGACATACACTAGAGACCCACACTAGGACAATCAGATTCTCTTTTCTACACATTTGAAATTGCTAAAAGAAGTTACAGGAACAAGCAAGAGAAAGGAGTCATCACAAGGGGCACCTGGGTGGCTCAGTGGATAAATGTCTGACTTAGGCTCAGGTCATGAGCTCATGGTTCACGTGTTTGAGTCAGCACGCATAGCCCGCTTCGTATCCTCTGTCCCCCTCTCTCTGCCCCTCCCCTGTTCTCTCTCTCTGTCTCTCTCTCTCTCTCTCTCAAAAATAAACAAACATTAAAAAAGAAACAAAAGGAGAAATCACAGAAAACAGACTCCTTTGGGATAGGAAACTTGAAGAGTTTCCTGAATATAAGTTTCCTGAATATAAGTTTCTGAATATAAGTTCAAACTGCACAGAGTCCTTGCTGTAGTGTTTTGTCTTGTGTGTCTAAAATATTGCCTCTTAGGCCCTTTCAATAAACCTCCTTTTTATTTGGCTTGGTTTCAATGGATTATGGTCCTTGGAATTAAGTCATTTATGACTGAGGCAAAAGTAAAAGAGGTCAGGATTTGACTACTGTCCTGGAGCTTTGAGGAAAAAAAAAATGGTTAAAGGAGGGAACTTCAGAATAAAAGACATATCAAAGTATCCCAAATCACCATATATAAGTCTTTTTTTTTAAGTCCCTTAACTTTGTTTCACTGATTTATTTCTTTCATGATGCCTTACTACAAAAATACAGTGTAAGTTTGCTCTGAGTTTACTTTGAAGCTGAGTTTTTAAGTATTATTACAGAGAAATAATTTTGGCAAGTCCATTGCCAATTTTGGCAAGTAATTGACAAACTCAGGAAACTCAAAAGTTAATCATTCATATTTTAACAAAGATGTCAGCTTTATGGAAACTGAAGTTAAATTCATATTGCATAAGAAAATATTATCTGTAAATATTTCCTTTTGTCCTGCCCAAGGTAGATGCTCAGAAATTTGTTAAAGCTCTGTATTTGTTAAACAAATGAAAGAGAGCAAACAAAAACCTATTTAAGAAAAGGAAAATAATAACTATAAATATTGTTATAAAAGTAAATTATTGAAGGCAAAAGTTATTTTCTAATGTATAGAATCCTATATATTTTAATTGCTTCCATATTGAGTGTCAATTACTTTTCTTAAAAAAAAATAATACGGGGTGCCCGGGTGGCTCAGTCAGTTAAGCGTGTCACTTTGGCTCAGGTCATGATCTCATGGTTCATGAGTTCCAGCCCTGCATTGGGCTCTCTGCTGTCACCCCAGAGCCCTGCTTTGGATCCTTTGTCCCCATCTCTCTCTGCCCCTTCCCTGCTCACACACATGCACACTCTGTCTCTCTCTCAAAAATACAATAAACATTAAAAAAATAATAACAAAAATTAAAAAAATAAAACTGTTAAAATTAAGACATAGAATTGGGGGGGAAAAGAAAGTAAATTAACTGGCTTTTGTAAAGCCAAGAATTGACAGAATCTTTAGAATCAAATTATTTGCATAAGCTGTAATCATAGTAAAATGCATATAAAAATTTAGAAAGGAATTCATAAAATTTACCCCGTTGTATTAAGAATATATAGAACTTTTCTGTGGGAACATGGGTTCCCATTGTAAAAAAACCCATTGTTTTTAAACATTCTGCAATGTTATATAACTTTTATTTTTTTTTATTTTTTTTTAACGTTTATTTATTTTTGAGACAGAGAGAGACAGAGCATGAACGGGGGAGGGTCAGAGAGAGGGAGACACAGAATCCGAAACAGGTTCCAGGCTCCGAGCTGTCAGCACAGAGCCCGACGCGGGGCTTGAACTCACGGACTGCGAGATCATGACCTGAGCCGAAGTCGGCCGCTCAACCGACTGAGCCACCCAGGCGCCCCATGCAATGTTATATAACTTTTAAATTAGGGGCACCTGGGTGTCTCAGTTAAGCGTCTGACTTGATTTTGGCTCAGGTCAAGATCTTGTGGTTTGTGAGTTTGAGCCCCACATTGGACTCCATGCTGACAACATGGAGCCTGCTTGGGATTCTCCTTTTCCCTCTCTCTCTGTCCCTCCCCATCTCATGTTCTCTCTCTAAGTAAATTTTTAAAAAAATATGTTATGTTTTACTATTTTTCTTAACTTACTCTGAAGTTCTCTGGTGACATCAAAAGACTTGTTACTGGACCAGCCTCCAAAAAGAATTTATGCAAAACTTCTTCAGTGAAGATATTCCACAAGATGACACATGAGTCCTGGTCCCCAGATAGAAGCCAACTTTGGTCTAATTTTGAAGAGAGACCATGTGGGTAAAGTAATGACGTAACGCTTTGGTGATGGCCTTTGAGAACTTTATGAGGAAGGGAATCTGGAAAACAACGAAACACCAAATAATGAAAAAATTATTTTTGCTCAAGAAATAGTGTTGAAATTTTCTTTTATAAAATTTTAATGAAAGGAAGATACACATAATTAAAGCGAGGCTGTTGGTTAAAAAAATGAATCACCAATCAGTGGACCATTTCAAAGGCAAGTGTCTCCTCATAAGTTATGTCATGCTTTTGATGAAGCATTAAAGCCGGTTGTTCGAAGTCTACCAATTCTTTAAGGATGTTAGCAGGTTACTAATTCCAGTGCCATCAAATAAGAAAGGCTGTTCTAAAAGAGTGAACAATTCATCCATTTCGCTTCTACAAAAATTAATCTCAGAACATCACTGCTGCCCTTTCAATAAGCATAACCAAGTCTAGTATAAAAGAAAAGCAAAGTTTCACAGAACATTTTTGCCTCCAAAAATATTAGATTATCTGGTTCTACCTCTTCGTTTTACAGGTAAAGTATCTGAGGCTCAAAGAAGTTACGTGACTTGAATCCAAGTGTGAAAAAGCACAGCATAATGTTTAAGAGCATTGCTTTGCTATTACATGAATGCTTTGGTTTTCTAGGTATGTCACTTACTAGATGGGTCACCATGACAAGTTGCTTTTCCCCTCTAAGCCACAGGTACTGCATCTGAAAAACTTGCGACAATAATAGCCTTGTTTCACACAAGACTGTTGTGTAGAATAAATAAGATAATGTCCTTCGTTTCCTAGCACTAGCACTTGGTAGGAATGTGGGTATTTCATACCACAGATGTTCTAGAACACAGGACTACTGACACTCAGTTTCCATACTGCCTCTTCATCATTAGCTAAAACTAAAAAAAAAAATTTAAATAAAAAAAAATTAGAGAAGACCACAGACTACAAACCCTCTTTACACAAACTAAAAAAGAGTCCCCAAGAATCATTATTACTTCAGTTAAAGAATCATTAGTTATTTCACTTACAGGAGGCACATCCTCAGTTTATATCCCCTTAGCAAACCAATTAATGAATATTAATTCAGATATTCAAGTCCAGTTTAGCTTTATGCTTGCTTTCTGGATGAGAAAAACCAGCCTACATAAAAAGTGCTAAGGTCTTAAGCTTTTTCACTAACTTTTAATCGTGGCTGTTGAGCTGTTGAGCAGTACGATACCTCTCCTAGGTTCATTGCTATCCCTCCTCTCTTTTAGGCAATCACTGAATACAAGTTAGTAACATTTAGTAAGTAGTCAAAGTAAGCTGAGAACAGGTGGTAGGCAAGGTAACAAGGTGTGTCTTAAAAATTGAGATTTGGCCTTAAATCTTAAGGACCTAACAGTCTAATAGGATCCATGCATTAAAAAATATTAGATATTATCTACACATCCCCAAATCTCAATCACTTCCTACATTTTCCTTCCTTTCCTTGTCTTATGTAAATAAGACAACTTCTGCATAACAGTCTTTATTTAATAGGTATTCACTTTTGAAATACACAAAAATGTGTAAGAACATATTTATACTTCATTAACAGAGAAATAAAAATTAAAACAGGAAGATACCATTTTGTTCTGATCAGCAAATACTAAAAAGTTTAATAGCACACAAAGTAGGCTAAGGTATGGGGAAAAAGTCACTTTCATAGGCTGTTAGTGGACACACTTGTACACAGATGTTCTATGGAGAACATTTTTAGATAAATTTTCAAAATTAAAAATATTCCTAAGTGTTGATCCAGTAATTCTACTCCTGCAACTAATACTATAGGTATGACCATATATATGTACAAAGATGGTTAATTCAGCATTTTCTGTTGTAGCCAAAGACTACAAAAACTGAAACACCCATTATTAAGAGATTTTTTAAATGAAAATTTAATTATTATTAGTCATTTAAAATGAACTCATAAAGAATGTGCTCCAAAATATTTTAAGTTATGTTTCAGGGTATTTCTGTAAAGTGTATAGTTTGTATAATATATAATATATTGTATAATATAATTAAAAGAATGCATATTGCTATGTTGCTATGTACTTGCATATGCAGAGAAAATTTCAAGAAGCGTATAAGGAAACTTAATAGCAGTTGCTTTTGGTGAAGGGAGCAGGAAGATCAAGGGAAAAAAGAAATATATTTCTCATTGTATCAATGACTTTAAAAAAAAAAATCCAGATATGTGTTTTACTTTAACATTCAAATATGTACACATTAATTAGCAAATGTCAGCACATTTTTTAAGCTTCGGCAATCTTCTTAGTACAGCTTGTTAAAGTTGAAGCTTAAGTAAATTAAATAAATAAGGTTACATAAAATTCAATGACCTTTTAATAAAGAACCGCCTTCTAGAAGTCCTGCTTTGGCAGCATTCAAAGCCTGTGTAATCAAAATGGTCCCATCTTCACAGCCACATATTAGTTTATCAAGACTTGAAACATACTCTGATGAAGTGACTACCACCGTTCCAGCCCCAGGGACATGGTCGATAATGCTCATGGTATGATGCTTATCAAAATTATCTTGAAGGGTCCAGGTGTCAGTTATTGGTATTTCTAAAGGGAAAACACACAAAAAGGGAAAATTTGGCTTTTAAATTCATCATAGACATGGAAACTGTTATCAAGGGACCATCCCTTGGGGTACACAGAGCTCTTTTGCCATCCAAACAGTGGCTATATGCAGAGAAGTTCTCCTGCCATGTATTGTCTTTACTCAAAATGCTATCTCTTTGGTCCTGTCCTTCAAGGAGCCTCAGAATAGATGTGTATTAGTGCATTCATTTTAGACCTAGGTCAACTGAAAAGAACAGAGAAATTCTTGCAGTGATGTAAAGTGGTGGTCCAGTCTCATGAGTTCTCTATTTGTCTCAGCAATGTTAAAAAGGAAAACTGAGGGTCTGTTAGTTGTGTGAGGAAAATGGAATAAATGTATTCTTTAAATATTAGGGGTATGGGTATCTCTAAATCATACCAAGCCCCCAATTATCTATGAATTACTAAGAGCACTGGTTATCATTCTATATAGTTCACCACCCAAGCATTTGAACTGGCTGTCAAGTAGGCTCAGGAAGGGAGAGAGGCTTGGATCTAGGAGCAAAGAGGGTGAGTTAAAGCCAACCTATTTCTCTATTAAAGGGCACCCCTAATCTTGCAGTACACGTGCCACAGTGACTGTGAAAAACCTAGAGCCCAAACCTTAGATGAGCATTAAGAATTGTCGTAGATATCTATGGTTCTAATTATTGTGGGTTTTTTTTTTACTGTTTATTATTTTTTTTTAAATTTACATCCAAGTTATTTAGTATATAGTGCAACAGTGATTTCAGGAGTAGATTCTTTAATGCCCCTTACCCATTTAGCCCATCTCCTTCCCACAACCCCTCCAGCAACCCTCTCTTTGTTCTCCATATTTAAGAGTCTCTTATGTTTTGTTCCCCTTCCTGATTTTATATTATTTTTGCTTCTATTCCCTTGTGTTCATCTGTTCTGTGTCTTAAAGTCCTCATATGAGTGAAGTCATATATTTGTCTTTCTCTGACTAATTTTGCTTAGCCTAATACCCTCTAGTTCCATCAACGTAGTTGCAAATGGCAAGATTTCACTCTTTTTGATTGCCAAGTAATAATCCATTGTGTGTGTGTGTGTGTGTGTGTGTGTGTGTGTGTGTAAAATCCATTGTCTGTGTGTGTGTGTAAAATCCATTGTGTGTGTGTGTGTATGTGTGTGTGTGTGTATACCACATCTTCTTTATCCATTCATCCATCAGTGGATATTTGGGCTTTTCCATACGTTGGCTGTTGTTGATATTGCTGCTATAAACATTGGGGTGCATATGCCCCTTTGAAACAGCACACCTGTATCCCTTGGATAAATACTAGTAGTGAAATTGCTGGATCATAGGGTAGTTCTATTTTTAACTTTTTGAGGAACCTCCATACTGTTTTCCAGAGTGGCTGCACCAGCTTGCATTCCCACCAACAGTGCAAAAGAGATCCTCTTTCTCCACATCCTTGCCAACATCTGCTCTTGCCCAAGTTGTTAATGTTAGCCATTCTGACCAGTGTGAGGTGGTACCTCATTGTGGTTTTTTTTTTTAATATATGAAATTTATTGTCAAATTGGTTTCCATACAACACCCAGTGCTCATCCCAAAAGGTGCCCTCCTCAATACCCATCACCCACCCTCTCCTCCCTCCCACCCCCCATCAACCCTCAGTTTGTTCTCAGTCCTCATTGTGGTTTTGATTTGTATTTCCCTGATGATGAGTGATGTGGAGCATTTTTCATGTGGCAGATGGCCATCTGAATGTCCAACTTCTTTGGAGAAGTGTCTATTCATGTCTTTTGACCATTTCTTCACTGGATTATTTGGTTTTTTTTGGGTGTTGAGTTTGATAAGTTCTTTATAGATTTTGGATACTAGCCCTTTATCTGATAGGTCGTTTGCAAATATCTTCTCCCATTCTGTCAGTTGCCTTTTAGTTTTGCTGATTGTTTCCTTCTCTGTGCAGAAGCTTTTTATTTTGATGAGGTTCCCATAGTTCATTTTTGCTTTTGTTTCCCTTGCCTCCAGAGATGTGTTGAGTACGAAGTTGCTGTGGCCAAGATCAAAGAGGTTTTGCCTGCTTTCTCCTTGAGGATTTTGATGGCTTCCTGTCTTACACTGAGGTCTTTCATCCATTTTGAGTTTCTTTTTGTGTATGGTGTAAGAAAGTGGTCCAGGTTAATTTTCTGCATGTCTCTGTCCAGTTTTCCCAGCACCACTTGCTGAAGAGACTGTCTTTATTCCACTGAATATTCTTTCCTGCTTTGTCAAAGATTAGTTGGCCATACGTTTGTGAGAACCCACTTCTGGGTTTTCTGTTCTGTTCCATTGATCTGAGTGTCTGTTCTTGTGCCAGTACCATATTGTCTTGATGATTACAGCTTTGGAATACAGCTTGAAGTCTGGACTTGTGATGCCTCCTGTTTGGTTTTCCTTTTCGAGGTTGCTTTGGCTCTTTGGGGTCTTTTCTGGTTCCATACAAAGTTTAGGATTGTTTGTTCTAGCTCTGTGAAGAATGCTGGTGTTATTTTGATAGGGATTTCATTGAATATGTAGATTGCTTTGGGTAGTATCGACATTTTAACAACATTTGTTCTTACTATCGAGGAGCATGGAATCTTTTTCCATTTATTTGTGTCTTCTTCAATTTCTTTCATAAGCTTTCTATAGTTTTCAGTGTATAGATTTTTCACCTCTTTGGTTAGATTTATTCCTAGGTATTTTATGGTTTCTGGTGCAATTGTAAATGGAATCAATTCCTTGATTTCTCTTTCTATTGCTTCATTGTTGGTGAATAGGAATGCAACTGATTTCTGTGCATTGATTTTATATCCTGTCATTTTGCTGAATTCATGGACCAGTTCTAGCAGTTTTTTGCTGAAATCTTTGGGGTTTTCCATATTAAGTATCACGTCATCTTGAAAGAGTGAAAGTTTGACCTCCTCCTGGCTGATTTGGATGCCTTTTATTTCTTTGTGTTGTCTGATTGCAGAGGCTAAGACTTCCAACACTATGTTGAATAACAGTGGCAAGAGTGGTCTTGTTCCTGACCTTAGGGGGAAAGCTCTCAGATATTCCCCACTGAGGATGATATTGGCATTCATATATAGCTTTTATGATCTCAAGGTATAATACTTTTTTCCTACTTTCTTGAGGGTTTTTGTCTAGAAAGGATGCTGTATTTTGTCAAATGCTTTCCTTGCATCTGTTGAGAGGATCATGTGGTTCTTGTCTTTTCTTTTATTAATGTGATGAATCAGCCCTGCATCCCAGGTAGGGATTCAGGTAGGATTCACCACTTCATTGTGGTGAATAATTTTTTTAATGTATTGTTGGATCTGGTTGGCTAATATCTTGTTGAGGATTTTTGCATCCATGTTTATCAGGGAAATTGGTCTTAGTTATTCTTTGTAGTGGGGTCTTTGTCTGGTTTTGGAATCAAGGTAATGCTGGCTTCATAGAAAGAATTTGGAAGTTTTCCTCCCATTTCTATTTTTTAGAACAGCTTCAAGAGGATAGGTTTTAACTCTTCCTTAAATGTTTGGTAGAGTTCCCTTGGAAAGGTATCTGGCCCTGGACTCTTGTTTTTTTGGGAGATTTTTTTTTATTACTAATTTGATTTCTTTACTGGTAATGGTCTGTTCCAATTTTGTATTTCATCCTGTTTCAGTTTTGGTAGTTTATATGTTTCTAGGAACTTGTCCATTTCTTCCAGATTCCCCATTTTATTGGTGTGTAATTGCTTATAATGTTGTCTTATTGTTTTTATTTCTGCTATGTTGGTTGTGATCTCTCCTCTTTCTTGATTTTATTTATTTGGCTCCTTTCCTTTTTCTTTTTGATCAAACTGGCTAGTGGTTTATCAATTTTGTTAACTCCTTCAAAGAATCAGCTTCTGGTTTCATTGATCTGTTTTACTGTTTTTGTTTTGTTTTGTTTTGTTTTGGTTTGGTTTGGTTTGGTTTGGTTTGGTTTTGATACCATTGATTTCTGCTCTACTCTTTATTATTTCCTGTCTTCTGCTGGTTTTGGGTTTTGTTTGCTGTTCTTTTCCCAGATCTTTTAGGTGTAAGGTTACGTTGTGGATCTGAGACCTTTCTTCTTCCTGTATGAAGGCCTGGATTGCTATATACTTCCCTCTTAGGACTGCCTTTGCTGCATCCCAGAGGTTTTGGGCTGTGGTGTTATCATTTTCATTGGCTTCCATGTACTTTTTAATTTCTTCTTTAACTTCTTGCTTAGCCCATTCATTCTTTAGTAGGATGTTCTTTAGTCTCCAGGTATTTGTTATCTTTCCAAATTTTTTCTTGTGGTTGATCTCGAGTTTCATATCATTGTGGTCTGAAAATATGCACGGTATAATCTCGATCTTTTGAACTTGTTGAGGGCTGATTTATGTCCCAGCTGGTGATCTATTCTGGACAATGTTCCATGTGCACTGGAGAAGAATGTATATTCCACTGTTTTAGGATAAAATGTTCTGAATATATATGTTAAGTCCATCTGGTCCAGTGTGTCATTCAAAGCCATTGTTTCCTTGTTGACTGTCTGTTTAGATGATCTCTCCTTTGTTGTAGGTGGGGTGTTGAAGTCCCCTACTATGATGGTATTATTATCATTGAGTTTCTTATGTTTGTGATTAACTGATTTATGTATTTGGGTGCTCACACATTTGGAGCTTAAATGTTTACAATTGCTAGGTCTTCTTGGTGGATAGACCCCTTCATTATGATATAACAGCCTTCTTCATCTCTTGTTACAGTCCTTATTTTAAAATCTAGATTGTCTGATATAAGTATGGCTACTCTGGCTTTCTTTTGTCAACCATTAGCATGATAGATGTTCTCCATCCCCTTACTTTTCAATCTGAAGGTGCCTTTAGGTCTAAAGTGGGTCTCTTGTAAACAGCATATAGATAGCTGTTATTTTCTTATCCATTCTGTTACCCTATGTCTTTTGATTAGAGCATTTAGTCCATTGGTATTTAGAGAGAGTACTGAAACATATGAATTTATTGCCATTATGTTTCTTGTAGAGTTGGGAGTGTCTGATGGTGTTCTCTGGTCCTTTCTAGTCTTTGTTGCTTTTGGTATTTATGTATGTATGTATGTATGTATGTATGTATGTATGTATGTATGTATTTATAATTTGCTCATTCATTCATTCATTTATTGCTTTTCTCCTCTCAGAGAGCCCCCCTTAAAATTTCTTGCAGGGCTGGTTTAGTGTTCATGAACTCCTTTATTTTTTGTCTGGGAAACTTTTAATCTCTCCTTCTATTTTGAATGACAGCCTTGCTGGATAAAGAATTCTTGGCTGCATATTTTCTTTTGGCTGCATATTTAGCACATTGAATATATCCTGCCATTCCTTTCTGGCCTGCCAAGTTTCTGTGGATAGGTCTGCTGCAAACCTGATCTGTCTTCCCTTGTAGGTTAAGGACTTTTTTCCCCTTGCTGCTTTCATGATTCTTTCTTTGCTTGAGTATTTTGTGATTTAGACTATGATGTGCTTTGTCGATGGTCGGTTTTTGTTGAATCTAATGGGAGTCCTCTGTGTTTCCTGGATTTTGATGTCTGTGTCATTTCCCAGGTTAGGAAAGTTTTCCACTATGATTTGCTCACATAACCCTTCTAAGCCTATTTCTCTCTCTTCATCTTCTGGGACCCCTATGATTCTGATGTTGTTCCTTTTTAATGAATCACTGATTTCTCTAATTTTTAAATCATGTTCTTTTGCCTTAGTCTCCCTCTTTTTTTCTGCTTCATTATTCTCCATAAGTTTGTTGTCTATATGGCTGATTTGCTGCTCTTCCTCATCCACTCTTGCCGCCTTGGCAAGCATTTGAGATTGAAGGTCAGTTATAGCATTTTTTTATTTCATCTTGACTAGCTTTTACTTTGTTTTTATCTCTGAAGAAAGGGATTCTAATATATTTTCAACCCCAGCTAGTATTCTTATTATCATGATTCTAAATTCTGGTTCAGATATCTTGCTTGTATCTCTGTTGAGTAAGTCCCTGGCTTTTGTTTCTTTCTGCTTTTTCTTTTGGGTGAATTCCTTTGTTTCATAATTTTGAAGGAAGAAAAGGAATAAGGTAAAAACAAATTAAAATTAAAAAATTAAAAACAACACACACACACACACACACACACACAGAAATCAAATAAATGATGCTAGATCCTAGGTGTGTTTTGGTCTGAGTGTTGAAAGGAGCTTGATAGATTAGAGAAAAAGTGGGGGGAGAAAAAAAGAAAAAGAAAAAAAAAGGAAAACGTTTGAAAATTTGAAATAATGAATAGAATGAAATAGAATAAAATGAATCGATGGAAGTAAAATAGAATTTGAAAAATTTACAAAAAAGTAAAAAATATAGTAGAAAAAATTAAAGAAAAATATTTTTAATAAAAATTGAAAATAAAAATAATATTTTCTTTCTGTATTCAAGAAAAAGAAAAGAAATGAAAAAGAAAACAAAAAGAAAATTGAATAGATGGACCAGTGAACAGACTGAAATACAATTGAAATTACATCATTTTCCCCTAGGAGTCAAACTGTGAAGCAATTTATAGTCCATAAACTAAGCAGGCATGGAGACGTGTGGTATTCCTGAAGAGCAAGCTTGGCCAAGTTGGGTGGGGCCTAGTGAAATGGCTCCACTCTCCACTAGATGACACTGCTTAGCTTACTCAGGTGGATTGTTGTGGCCCATGTAGGTCTGTATGCACATGTGTGGGAGGGGTAAAAATGGCATCACCCAGCTACCCAGTCTTTAGTATCAGAACTCTCTTCTCCCCGATTAGCAATGGCGCACCCATCCTTTGTCTCTGGCTTCTGTCTACTCCCTGCTTTTACACTGTCCATTACCAAGCCGTCAGGTTGCCAGGTGGCACCTTCCTCCTGAGTTTTATCTCAGATGCAGCTGTGTTTCCTGACCCCTCATTTCTGAGGGACTGCAGCTTTGACCCGTTCTACCCCTCTGCAGGAGGGTCTCACCAAGTAAGGGCCAGGTGCTGGCTGTACCCAGGAAAGTTCACGGGACCATGCTGCTGTTGATGCCCAGAAACTGCCGCTGGGTGACAGCCCAGCCCAGAAAAAGTTCACATGATCATGTAGCAGCAGCGTTTCAGGGATTATGGAAAATCACAACACACATCTGGCTCCAGGCTTCACTCTTCACAACCTTGTTCCAGCACCAGCAAATATGGTTGTTCTCCAGGGTCTGATGGGACCTTTGCCTGTGGGGAGTCCTCCCAGCAGGGGAACCGCCTCTCCTCATGTGGTCCGAAGACCTCCCAGACTTCACTCTGCTCCTGGGGATTCACCCTTCCCACCAGAGCACCTGCTGTTATCAAACTGCGGAGTTTCAGACTCTGCACTCCCCTTGTTTATACATTCTTAATGGAATTTAAACCCTCTCCTTTCTCCTTTCTCCATTTTTAGTTCAGTCCCTGCGGCTGTTTCCACTTTTCCACTTTCTCTCCAGCTGCTTTTGTTGGTGGTGGTGGGGTGCTTTTCCTGTATTCTCCCCACCATCTCCGTCCTCCCTCCACAAGCAGAAACCACTCTCTTCCCTCCGCGGCTTCTGTCTCCCCCAGTTCATCTCTCTGCACCACTGTGTTCTGTGGTTCAGGTTGTGCAGATTGTTGTGTAATCTTCACATCAGTTTTCTAGGTGTGCAGGATAGTTTAGTGTTTATCTGGCTCTATTTCATTCACACAAGACACAAAAAAAACTTCCATGCTGTTCCGCCATCTTGGCTTCTCTTCTCTATTGTTCTAATTATAAAGAAGGTTACGTAAATGCTTCCTTAATTCCACTGCTGGCGGTGGAACATACATGAGAAATCCTAGGGCAACCATTAGGTGGCCTTAGCAGGGGCATGGTATACATTTTAATTCTTAAAATTGAACTTGTAAGAAACTTTTCCATACACCATACCAGGTTCTAAATCTTTTTTTTTTTTTTTTTTTTTTTGGCCATTTTCTTATTAACCTAGGACTATTAGGAACCGTTTTGAAAACATTTGGGACAAAGAACCTTAAAATTATGCCAGTGAATTTGTTAAGTAACAGAAACTTGTGCTTTGGAATTCAAATGTGGAGGACTGTGTTTCTGCTGTGCCCAAGACAATGATTCACAGATGACTTAATGATTTGGGAGTAAGGGAAAAAGAGTAAGATGGGCTTTCTCATTTTGGAATACCTAAGTCTCAGGAGCTTGAAGGTTCTCCACAATAATGTTTCCTTTAATGACTTCAGTTTTGTATTCTAAGAAAAATGAAAATAAGCAAATGCTAAATCATCTAATCATTCAAAGAGCCAAATGGTTTAGTGGCCAAGTTTATATCTGTCCCTCCTGTTCCAAGCAGCTGTAATAATACCAATAGAGGAACTGGTTGTAAAGGGTACAGGATATGGGCATGACAAATTCAAAAACATGAGTATGGCATGTCAACCTATCCTACATCCATATATAAGCATCCATTTCATTTGAATAAAACATCATTCCTGTTAAATTGATGTTAATTTGAATTGTATCGGTTGTATTGTTGTATAAGATCTAGAAACATCATGTTTATACCTCCTTTTATGTTGGCACCTAATGCATAGTGTGGTACACGAGAAAATTTGTCTTATTTGTAGCCTCATGTTACTCAAATGAGAAAAACACTGAGTTAATTATAAAATAGTTCTCAGAAGACATGTGATTAGAAATAGATTAGAAACTGTCTTACCTCTAGGAGAGCCATCAAACTTGGATACAGGAACATCAGGAATGTGCCACAAAGTAATTCTTCCCGAGACTTCTCCAGAGAATAGTATCTTATAAAAAGGCTCTTTCCTTTCATTCATGTAGCCCATAACAAAGGAAAGGCCCTGGTCCAAAATAAAAGGTTAGCTTTTATGTAGAAAAAAAATATCTGAATATAAAATGACAACCACTATTTTCAAATGGAGGAACAAGACTTCATAGATTAACTGAATTGTTTCCATTTGCTTCCTGATCTTTCAAAAATTTCAGGTAACTTAAGTGACATTATCTCTTACTCAAGACAAAAAAAAATTTATAAAATAAGCAAAGTCCACAGCTAGACTTCAGAGAGTTACTAAGACTATTTAACATGTACTTAATGTTCTGTGTCTGTATTACACATAATGTTAGAGGCTTTACATTTATTCTGCTAAATAATCCTCACATTAATTCTCTGAGGTTGGCACTATCATTGTCTCCATTTCCCAAATGAATAAACTGAGAGTGGAGAGGTTGATTTACCTAAAGTGTTATAGACAGCAAAGAGTCCATGTCTTCATGACCATACCCTACTGTCCACTAAGGAGGCCTGATTTCTTTATAGTCCCTTAAGTTCCATTGTCAATTACAATAGCAACAAGTAATATATGTGTGGTAATTTTGTGTTATTAACATGCTTTCAACTTTCTGTTAACTACTTTTCATATTTAATATATTTGATTTTAAACATTCTAGGAGATCAGAAATAAAAATGAGTCCATAACATAAACAATAAACAAATAAATACTAATATAATTAAGTATATAGTTATAGTTTATATTAATATATTATATATTTATGTACATAAGGCTATAATTTTGCTGAGGCAGAGTATGAATATTAAGCACCAGAGTTCTGGAAGACATGCTTTTATCAGTGTAATGGGTCTAGAGTCTCTAGTGCCTGAGTGCAGTGCAGATGTTCTCTGGGAAGACTTGCATATAGAGATTATGAACAAGGCATCAAAATTATTAAGAGATTATAAAAACAAAAACTTCTTTTGATATACAAAGAAAAGTCACCCTGGAAAGAAAGCCAACTGCTGGTGCTAGAAGTAAAGAAGTCTAAGAAAGTGATAGATAGTTCCTCATTAGAAAATATGTTTGAAGGTCAGGACTTTGATGTATTATTGGAAAAATTCTGTAATGTATCTGAGGAGTATTAAAGGCCAAAGCATTGCTATATTTATTCCTCACAACAAAGCTACAGAGTAAGTAAACACTGCCATTATTCCTGTTATGGAGAAAATAAAACTAATACAGGAAGAGAGTAAGAAAGGAATCCAAGATCATACAACCAAGGTAGCCCTCCAACATGAGAGCACTGCAGAGGAGAAACAGCTCCTAGGAAGTTGCTTCTACAGATTTAGAAGGCACTTTCAAGTCTTATACTTCTCAATCCATCACTTTTGTAGGTGTTAGAAACTGTGTCAATACAATTTGGGTAAACCAGCAAACTAGCTTCTCAAACTCTCTTGACCTTGAAGAACCTTAGAACTGACTAGTTCCACTCCCTCATGATTTTGATACAGAGAAGCTGAGCCGTTACTCGGTTCCTGTGGTTGGTGGCAGGCAGCATGCCTCACTTCCCCCAACAGCATATGCTCCGGTGCTGCTGTTCTCCCTCTGTACCTACTATGCCACTGCCATTCATCACTTGCTCACACCCACACCTTGTCACCTCTGCCCTCATCCTTTGCAGTATCCCTCTCTGATTCTGCTATTCACTTGGACACTCCCCTCAGAGCCCCTTACCATATGAACTCTGATTTGTCACCACAGTACCCAGGGTGTATCACAAGGAACACCTGCCCTACAGGAGGTAATAAAATAGCCCTTAAGAGCGAATTCTCGGGGCACCTGTGTAGCTCAATTCGTTAAGCATCTGACTCTTGATTGTGGTTCAGGTCCTGATCTCACAGTTCATGGGACTGAACCCCACATCAGGCTCTGTGCTGACAGCATGGAGCCTGTTTGGTGTTTGGGATCCTCCCTCTCCCTCTCTCCCTGCCCCCCTCCTGCTCCCTCTCTCTTTCTCTCTCTCAAAATAAATTAAGCATTAAAAAAACAAAAACAAAAACAACCAAAAAACCCAGAAAATTCTCTTGAGTTAACTGCCTGGGTTCAACTCCTGGTTTTAGCACATACTAACTCTATTAAAAGCACCAATTACTTGATTTAGACAATTTACTTAATCTCTCTGTGTCTCATTTTCCCTAAATGTGAAAGAAGGCCAGTAAAAACACCTACTCTATAGGATTGCTGTCAGGATTAATGAATTGATAAAGGTGAGGTGCTTAGAATGGTGCCTTGCATTTGGCACATACTCAGTACCTATGAACCATTCTTATTATCCACTTTTCGGAACAACTGAGAAACTTGCTCCAAAGTCCAACTGCCAGACTTGGGCCAAACTGCCCATGTTCAAATCCTAGGAATTAACCTTTCTGAACATGATTTGTAAAGTGAGGCCATGGTGGGAATGCATGTAAATGGAGGAGTGTGTATATTTGATAATAACAAGGACTAAAAAAAAAAATTACCCATCAGCATCATCGTTATTACTCTTAGTTCATGCACCCAAATTCCTTACATGCAATCTTCAGGCTATCTCTGCCTCAACTACCCCTTAACTCAGCACTGCAGAGTTACTCCACAGCTAAGACTCTGAAAGCCAGTACCTTATCTCAACAACCAGGACCCCTGCCACAGGCCTCAGTGATCATCAGCTGTCATTAGAACCTTGGGAGACTCTCACGAAGCTGCTGAAAGGAAGGGCGAGTCTCATTTTGCTACTACAACTCCATCAGCAGATATATTCTGAACATCACAAATGGTAACTGTGGGAACATGTTACTGTTACACACTGAGATTTATGTCTATTGGTGCCATTCCAAAAGAAGAGTCTACTTAATACTACATATTTATAGAATACCCTTTTCTAAGCTCCTTGTACTTATCAAACTTATCTCCCACCCCATCAAAATGTTACCTTCTAACTTCAGGAGAGATTAAGAAATCTTATAGTTAGTGAATATTGGCGATGTTTTGAATAAGGAAAACAATGTCAGACTTTAACTTCTGGCTGGACAAAGGGCAAGCAAGAGTGTGAGGGTGGGTAGACTAGCTTCTTTAAGTTTCCAAGTATTCTATTCATATTTCACTGGCTTCCTAGTATTAACTGTCGTTGTCTAAACAAGAATTGTTGCGGGGCATCTGGGTGGCTCAGTCGGTTAAACAGACACCTCCAGCTCAGGTCATGATCTCGTGGTTCGTGAGTTTGAGCCCTGCGTCAGGCTCTGTGCGGACAGCTTGGAGCCTGCTTCAGATTTTCTCTCTCCCTCTCCCCTTCCCTCAATAGCATGTGTCCTCTTTCTCTCTCTCAAAAATAAACTTAAAAAAAAGAATATTTAAAAATTATTGATAGATGATCCATAGATCTATGTCTTCATATTTTGAGGAACAAAATAAGGTGGCTTCCCCTAAGGTTAGTATTTTTTTTTAAGTTAATTTGCAATTGCTGTGTTTTTCTTCAGCACCAATATGTGCAGTCGACTAGAAGATCTTAAAGGATACTACCTACATTTTAGCTTTTGGGGAAAACTGCTTTATAAAAAGTGCATTCTGGTGCTAAAGGAAAGAATGGGCAGGCAGGTCCTTTACAAAATAACTAAAAATGCTTTTTCTAAGTAAGCCACACTACTGCTCTTATAATCAACAGTGAAGCCACTCACAGATGACTTTAGAAATAGTGTTTGATGCCACAATTCTGAAGTTTGCCTGTGCCCCAGTGGCACTTAGAGTTCTAATTTTGGGCTTGCAGTTTTTTAATCAAGTTTTTGCAACAAAATCCTATAGATATGTTAAAGGTACAATTACAGAACTATAGGTTCTCCAGTGGCTAAACTGTGAAATTAAGCAAACCATCAGTCCGTAAAAAAATAACGTTTCCTTGGTTGACACGTCAGTAATCCAAAGTCCTTATTCTCCATGAAATACCTCCTTGGATAATTAACTGATGACTAAGTCCACAGGATAACAATCATAACAGCAAGAACAAACCTCATTTTGGTTAGCACTACTAAAATAAAACAACTTTAAATGATCAGACTTCATAGAGTGTAAAGATAAAATTCAGTCAAGTAAAAACACACAATTATATCCTCAAGTCTGCCAGGACTCACAATTATACTTGTTTTACCAAGAAAATTTATTCAGAAGAATAGCTAAACATATGCGAAAATGATAATATTGAGATTAAAAAAGCAGGATATAAACCATTTGATAAAATTTAAAAACTGGAGTAGACACATCAAAATGTTAATAACTTCATATCAAATCATTTCTCCAAAGGGTCAGTGAACAATGTGTGTGTGTGGCAAGGTGGGGGGTGGGGGCGAGGGAGTGAGAGAGAATGAATATGGCAAAATGTTGACAATTGGTAGATGAGTGGAGGTAGATGATGGAGGGTAGGTGAGTGATCATTGTACTATTCTTGAAACTTTTTAAATATTTGAAAATTTTCCCATTAAAATAAGTAAATACATAAAATATATTCCTTGTGAATATTATGGTGGCAAAATTATGAATTTTAGTTCCTCCACTTTTAACTTTTAATTTTAACTTTCATAATTTTTCTATAACAAATATATATCATTTAGTTACTCCAGCTTTAAAATATATATTTTTCGAAGGCAAAGTTTTCTCTTCAGTACCCATTAACAATTAGATTTGATTTTCTCGTTGACAACTTCATGCGATTCTTCCATTCAATTTTTTCAAGTCTGATTCTCTGTTACAGACAAAGCAACACTTATCTAAGACGCAGAGTGAAGCAGCTTTGAGGCAGTCACTCTCTCCTTGCATTACCTTATTTTCCTGCACAGAAGTAGAGCACAGTAAATGAGGATAAATGGTCTCTTTAAGCACTCTTCCATCAGCAGGGTATATGCTTTTTGAAAGCCCACTGCATGGTGAAAAATAAAAAGCAGAGTTGAGAACTTTGAGGTTCTTTATTCATTTTTTTCCTCCTCCCACTTTCAAAAGCCGGATGGTACCATTCAAGTTTCTAAACTCTAGTTAGAAATTGTTGGGTTAATAATTACAAGTGACTTTTTGAAAACCCAGCACCAGCTGTACAAGTTATACATGGTTAATCTCATTCCTTCATCCCCTGCTGTTTCATACAAAGGCTGAAGCCTCCCAAGCCCAGGGTAAATCTTCTAGTGCCAAAGTTGTTTTGTTCTGGTTTTTGATCATGGGCAGCATGCAGGGATTTTTCCATAATAAACCTCCCAAAGTTCATTTTCTACCTGAATGTTTTGTATGCCGCTCCCATCTGAGCCCACCTGTTCAGCAGCTGATAGATAAAACTGTGACCATCTTCTGTCCAGATGATGATTCTGTGAGCAGCAAGCACCTCTCCCCCAGCAAAAAACTGCCCACTTCTGCTAACTTCGGTCCGCAGAAGGGAAAAATCACAATAGTCATAAACCTAAAATACAAAATTAATGATGTACATTAACAAAAGCTTCTAATCTAATCTGTCAATGAGATGAAAGATAAATTATGCTTATCAAGACTATTTAGATGGCAGTGTTAATGCAACAATATATTAAATATTAATAACAGGACACACTGTACTCATGCGCCAAGATAATTTTTTACTAGTACTTATCTTTTTCATTTATCCTAAGGTAGGTTTAATGAATAAACTTTATACCATTCCAGAATGTGCCCATTAAGCACAGAAGCCAAAAATCCCAAAATTTATATGTTATTTTATTCCTTCTATATGGTAGTCCAGCTTCAACTTTTAAAAATTTGTTACACAAAAAGTTTACACAGCAGAAACCTTTTGATACACTACATATTTTATATTTTTGTTCAAAAATATAGTATCAACATATAAGTAAGATACTGTAGTTTTGTTAGCTGGGCCAGTTATATGAAACATTAAAGAAAAAGGGATGCTATCAAATGATAATAACTTAGCTCTTCTTTCTTGATGGAGAGATCAGTGAATATACTCATAAGAAAGTAGATTCTCTAAAAATGAATATAGCAACTATGCAGAAAAGGAACAAAGCCTATAAATAAAATCAATGTATGTAGATGAAAGGGTTTAGTTTGCTTTTTAATTTTAAAGTTCAGGCATCAAATTTTTAAAGTAATCCAGAGATAAATGCTCATTATTGTCATGGTCTGTTGCTAATAAAATTGGGATCTACTTTATATATATAATATCCTGAGAAGCAAAACAGCTGAGTGCAGGGAGAGGAAAATTGATAGAAATGGGTCATAAAAGACAACTAATTCAATTTATCGTGTCATTTTTATAATACCTTCCAACATTTAGAAAATACCACCAATAAAAGTCTCTCCGTATATGTGCAAAATCGTATTGCCCGGCAGTTCAGGGAGTCGAGAAATTTGGATTCCTTCTCGTAGACATCTTGTTTTTCCTTCAGAAGGAATGAGAACACTTTAGTGCCGGTTCTAGGTAATTTATACATGACTTGCTCTGCTGTACACCTGAAGTAGATCAGACCATTTTTATAAAAAACAAAAAAACAAAAAACAACTACCCGTTTCCTTTTGAGTTCCCTGAACTAAGAAATCACTTCACAAGAGAAACCATGAACAGGAAACCCACTTGGCTTAAAGGATTCCTCATATATAATCGTTCCTACAAACATTCTGTGGGGCACTGTGCTGGATGCTGAGAATGTAAAGATAGGAATAAGTTTCTCATTTTCAGATGTGGTGGAAAGTCAAAACAAAAAAAAAAGTAACATATTAAAAAACAACAACTGCAGTACCTTAACTGCTAAAAAAGAAAAATGAGTAAGTGCTTTGAAAAAACAAAAGCATGGCCAACACAGAACATCTAGAATACCATATTCACAGTAAGTTTCTGATGATGCTGGTGTGTGTTTCTTGGGCTCATTATGGCAACACAATTCCTAGGCTTCCTCTAGGAATTTCCAAGAAATTCCAAAGGAGAGCTCAGAGCATGGGGCAGCTGAAACAATTTTATCATCAGCATATAGAATATGACTGTTTTTTTGTCCACCACCTCAAATTGTAGCCTGATGCAGGAACAGGTGAATATACTCGACTCCCAGTGCATGTGACCCCAGCTGTTCACAGTAATCTCCTGCCACATACACTCAGAAGAAAGGGGGTCTTTCTGCTGTAAGGGTCAGAAACATATTCTTCTATGATGGACTTTATTTTTATTAAAATGTAATCACTGTGTGTGTGTGTGTGTGTGTGTGTGTGTGTACACGTACGTGCCCATAAAAACATTTGTATATGCCCTGAGAACAGGTTGGAAGGAGACAGTCTAATTGTTATCAATTAGAGGAGTGATGGGGGAGTACACAGAGGTAAAATTTATATACTTCTACATTATTTGAACTCTTAACAATGAGCAGGTAACACCTTTATAATTAATTAAAAAAAAACAATAAATATGCTTGAAATTGGAGAATAAAGAATAGAGTTTCACAAACCAACCTGAATGCTGTTGATAGATGAAGAGAGATCCCATACTTTGAGCTCACCAGCTACTGATACCACCAAGAGAGAATCTTCTGTAAAAACAATAAAGGTCACATAAAAGTTGACCACTGTTATAAGTGGTTGCTGTAGAGATCATTTCACAGTCATTTAAGGATTATGTAGGGTTATGTAGGTGGAACATATTCAACTTTAGGGTTATTTTTCTGATAAAAAATAAACATTTTAGATCACATTTTAAGTTTGTTTCAAAATGTCAAAATGACCCCCATGCAATAGAGAGCCACTAAATAGAGAGCCACTAAAAGCAGAGCCACATTGCAAATGATTATGTTGTCAACATTACATCTTCTTATTTCAGAAATAAGTAAGGAGCCAACCTTCCCTCATTACGGAAATCGAATTATCTTCTTTACTACATCCAGAAGACACAGCAAAGCAAAAGTTCCAAGCGTCTTGCTAATCCACCACAAATGTCTGCTTGTCACTCCTGAAATGTACCGATGAACTGGGTCATGGAAACACGGTCTCCTCTTTTCATTTCATCTTGACCTCTTGCTGACTTTCTAACGACTTGAACCATTGGCTTGGGTGTTCTCAGTTTTTTGATTTGGCTTAGAGAACTATCCCCACCAACAGGTAAACATAAAGAAGTATTCTGAGCTCTTGCCCAGTAGCTCAACACATAGTTCAAAAGTGATCTTTTTATATGCATTCTCTTAGTGTTCTATAAGACCCAACTATTACCTTGAATTCTCATGGAGTGTACAATGCACAGGCAGTTGATCCAATCAGGAGACTGAGATGATATAAAAGTGTGAATAACAGCCAAACTTTTAGCATCGATGATAAGAACATCTTGATATTCTCCACAACACAAAAGCCAGCCTTCCCCTGTCATCCGGAAGGAGCAGTGGTAATACTATGGAAATGGAATTCAAAGCAAGAGTTTAATTATCACTAGCAATTAACAGAATTTGGGCCATGGTGAAGACTCCTCTGATTTTAGTTTTATCATCTATTCAATGAAGCTATTTACTTGAATGAATAGCAAGTTAAATTTCTTTTAGTTCAATGATTCCACATTGCTAAAGTATTGATTTGGGGCTTGAGTCTCCTTTGTATTTCAGTATTTTTCCTGAGAAAGGGGGATCTTTTTAGGAAGAGTGAATCTTATTCCAATCATAGAAAGTTCACAATTGTTTTATTTCTAGAACGCTATGTAGAAATAGACAGCAACGAAATTCTGGCAACATTGCTTCATGTTAATAAGAAATAAACGTGTAGGAAGAGTGTGTGAGGAATTCTAGTGCCAAGTAAGTTTTGAGAACAGCTTTTATCAAAGATTGAGTAACACATTCTACTCCAGACAGACTCTCTCACTATTAAGATTTTGGCACCAGAAAGGAGTTTGTGAATATTGCAGTGCAAGTCCTCAATGCTAAAAGCAATGAGTAAAACATTAAAAAACACTGTCAGCACCATTGGTATAATGCAACTGCCTTACCTGTATGCTGGGAGTCCATCTACCAAAAGGTAAAATCTCTTTTAAATACTGGGAAATAAAGGTATGGCTATACCTTTTGCTCTCTTTTCCTAAATAAGAAATTCAGAAATTAAGAACCTATCCACCTAAAAATAGTTAAAATTAAAGACAAGAAAACCTTTTTTGCTTTATAAAATAATTTGTCATTAAAACCAAATCTTTCTACGTGTGTATCTGTGTGTGTGTGTGTGTGTGTGTGTGTGTGTGTGTGTGTGTGTGTGTGTGTGTTTGGAGTGTAACTAAGTAAAACAAACTGTCTTTCAAATGTACCTATGTTAGAAAGACACAAAAGTAAAGGAAGAATCAGGAAAACAATTCTTGAATAGTTAACTTTGGGGGGAAAATGCCAAAATAACAGATGATAACTGACAGTGTTCTATTTCAGGAACAAAAGAAAAATTAAAGAAAAGAATATCCCCCCCAAAGACATTTCTTTAAATATGTGCCTAGAAAATGCTCTAAAGGAATTGTAGAATCCAGAAATGTTCTGAAGGGACTGAATGTACTTACACAGATTGCAGTGTGCCTGTAAGGAAGCGTGGCCTTCTCCACACGCTGTCCGTTCGTGACATTCCAAACACACATCTCCCTAGCAGAGATAACTTGGTATTATTCTCTGTCATTTCCAGTCAATTGGCTGAAATAATTTTTGTGCCACCAAGTTTTTCTGTAGTGCTGCACTTAAATGCAACCTGATCGTTTATGTGGCTTTTTGTTACAGATTACTGAGCAAGAAAATGTTGTGGTCATTAGCAGGGATGACATACTGTATCTGTGTCTTTTTGTTTGGGTAATTACACCCTGCCGCCAGTCTACAGACCTTACCTTAGCACCAACCTGACCTAAAACAAATTGTGTGGATACAGCTATCACAGTCTGTTAGAGTGACAGTACAACAATCTTTCCATGGAAACTGCATCCTCTTGAAAATGGTTTATTTCACTGAATTTAAACTACATATTCTGAAAAGCATAACGCATCAAGGGCTGCATCTTCTGGAGCCGAGGTATCATTTTTATAAAAATAAACAGTGCCACCAAGAGGCTATATTTGGTCTATAATTGATAATGGTTTATTTCTTTGCTTATCCTGAAATGCTGAAATCACACTTGCTGCTGCATGTTTAGAAAATTCTAATTGTTTACAAAACTCTGACTTGGTTGCATATATGTTACAAAGACGTACATACCATTAGGAAACACAGTGATAAAATGCATCCAAGTACAGGGCAATTTAAATCTATGTGATTTCAGTTCACAAAAACCAGAATGGCTGTTTGGGAGTTGTTTGGTAATATTCTTCAGTTTTCACACTTCCAACACATAAGCAAAACTTTCCATGAAAAAATTAAGGATAGCTTTATTAGCTCTAAGGGAGAAGCTGCTATTAAGAAGCAAAAGATACGAATTAATCATAGTAAATGCTAGATGCATTTGGTGTTTGCCAGCCTTTTTGTTTTTCTGGCCAAACACTGGAAATCAATCTTTAAATCAGTGGTTCTCTACCTGGGGCGATTTTGTCTCCCAAAGGATATCCGACAATAAGAGATTTTTGGTTGTCACAACCAGGAACACACTACTGGCATCTAGTGGGGAAAGGCCAGGAATGCTGCTAAATATCCAGCAATGCACAGGAGGGCCCCACAACAAAGAATTCTCCCGGTGCTCCAAAATATCCTTAGTACTGAGGCTGAGAAATCATGTTCTAGATATAAAAACAAAATATTCATAGTTTTTTCTCTCTGTTTATATCCAAACGTATTCCAAAAAGGATTTGAGGCAATATGAAAACTCATGTAACTCAATAAAACAAAGGGAAAATGTGCACACGTGTGTGTGTGTGTGTGTGTGTGTGAAATAAAACTAGGAAAAAAGGTAGAAATTGAAATAATATATCTCAAAGGTAAAAAAAAAAAGTGTCAAAGATAAAAATAAATAGAACTTTAAGTCACTATTAATATAAAAGTTTAGCTTCATAAGGAATTGGAGTTTATTAACATGGTTCTCAACTCTAGCTGTACATCGCCTGTGCATATTTCAAAAATTATACATAGAGATTCTAATTCCATGGCTCTGTGTTGGAGTCCCCACATGTAGGTTTTGCAAAGCTCCTGGTCATTAATCTGTTTCTAGATAAGGCTATCTCTAAACCAGTGGTTCTCAACTGGCTATACATGAGAGTTATCAGGGAACTTTTTAAAAATACTGGGGCTAGGACCCAGACATCAAGCCATGCTAATAAAATCCCATTTTCCAAGGTTGGAGCCTGTATCAGTAAAAGCTCTCTCTGTGATACCAATGTTTCTCTTGGATTCTAATGTTTTCCCTATTTGTTTGCTTATTATCTTATTTTATATCTTAAAGTAAGAAAATATATGTACAAAAATACCACAAAGCAAAAATTGACTCTTATGCTTAGCAGCTCTTTTTAAGAAAAGAAAGCAAATGTGTTGTGTTTCAAAAACAGCATTGACATTTTAGCTGGAACAGTACAAGTTACATATTTAATAAGAACACAGGAAAATTAACTGTTAAAATGAGCATTCTTCTTTTCCTTTTGAAATACTGTTACCAAAGTTTCTACATAGATTAAATCATCTTCAATTAAAAAGGAAGGTTAACTTGGGGCGCCTGGGTGGCTCAGTCGGTTAAGCGTCCGACTTCAGCTCAGGTCACGATCTCGCGGTCCGCGAGTTCGAGCCCCGCGTCGGGCTCTGGGCTGATGGCTCAGAGCCTGGAGCCTGCTTCCGATTCTGTGTCTCCCTCTCTCTCTGCCCCTCCCCCGTTCATGCTGTGTCTTTCTCTGTCTCAAAAATAAATAAAACGTTAAAAAAAATTAAAAAAAAAGGAAGCTTAACTCAAAAAAATTGTTTAACAATTGCCAAAATTTTTAAATTTTTGATTTTTTTAATTTCAGTTAAAAGAGGAACACAGAGGAAAGTATCTGCAACATATAAAATTAGAAAATTGTTAAATTCCCACTGATTTCCTTAAGAAAAGCCCCCACCCCTTTTTACTCAATCTGTATCTCTACCTCAGCAGCTCAATAAAAATTCATCCAGTGGATAAGCAGATCAGTCACCACTCTTATATCAACTTTTCTACTTTCAGAAGTAGACTATTTTCTTTGGTCCATGCTTATTCTTATATTTATTTGCCTATAAAGTTGTTATGAATATAATTTTAATAAAACATCTAGAGGGAGAGGAGATAAACATGGTTTGCCATCTTGAATCCAAGTCCCTTATGTTCTTCAAACTCTCTTTTATCTTCCATTATACTTTTAGGGTTTCATTGGCATTCTCAGGTTCCATTCTGCGTCTGGAATGCTGGTTTCCCTTAGTTTTGTCTTAGGCTTTCTTACCATCTCACATTTCACACTCTCTCTGGGTGAATTATCTACTCCCATCACTTCAGGTAGCACCCATATGATGTTGGAATCCCAGACCAATTCACTGAGCTCTACATTTCCATACACAACTGGCTATTAGATGTCTCTACCTAAATGACTTGCAAGACTTCACACTCTTCATATTCACAATGAAGCAGAACACCCGCCTGCCTTTGTTTTCTATTCTCAGCGAATGGTATCATCACCAATGAGTTTCCCAAGTCATTCTTGACATCACACTTTCTCTCACTGCCCCCATGTTCAGTACTCACTATACCAGATGTGTTCTCTGAACAAGCAGCATCAGCATTGTCCAGGAAACGTCTTAGAAATGCAAGTTCTTGAACCTTAGCCTGGACCTACTGAACCCATATCTCTGGAAGTGGGGCCAGAAGCCTGTTATTTAAACCAGCTCTGTAAGTGGTCCTACTGCAAGCTCAGGTTGGAGAAGCACTGCCCTGGAAGACTCTAAGACTGGGTACTTGCCCAACTTTCTTACTTCTCGCTTGTGATTAAAAGTTTTTTTTTTAATAAGTAATAACCCCCTTTATCAATGCCAAGGCTTTTTTTGCCTTAAGGTTTTATTAACTACATGTATTTATTAACGTAAAATATTTACATAGCAAATATCAACATTTTGGTCATTATTCATCTGGTAAATCTTTTTTCCATCCATTTACTTTTAACCTTTCTATGTCCTTATGCTGTTTTTGTCTTTTAAATTGTATGACCATCTATGTGATTTAACTAGAGGGCTCGGTCTCAATTGAGATTATGGTTTTAGTCAGATTTATCTCAATTACATTATTCTGTGCTTTCTATTTGCCCCATTTATTTTGTGTCCTTTGGATTAAATAACATTATTTTTCTTTTCCAAATTGGAAGTTCTGTATTCTATTTCTTTTATTTTGATTTCTTCTATCTGTTCTTTTAGCAGCTACCCTGGAAATATGTACATCTAGTTTGTTTTTTGTTTTTTTTTTTGTACATCTAGCTTAAAGCCTAAAGTTATTCAACATCTTTACCCACCTCTAGAACAAGAACATGTGGGATCTGATCACTACACTATCCTATGTGATCGTTGACTAGAATTGACATATTTATAGATTGTGTGTATATATGGCGTTGGGGGGTGGGAGGTATATATAAACATTATTGTCTTCTAATCTATATTTATTTGCATTTTCTAAAACGTTGCTGGTTTTGTTCAATATTCCTTCTTCCATCTCAGCTCTTCTGTATGAAATCATTGTGTTTCTTACTGAAGAATGTCATTTACAATTCTGGTGCTTATAGAGGGTCTATGGGCAGTGAACATTCTTAGTATTTGTCTTAAATACTTACTTAAATAGTTAGCATTATATTAATACTTATTAATACTTAGATACTTAAGTACTAATTACTTAAATACTTAATAAATGCTTAACATTTGTCTTAAATACCTATTGTGACCTTATTTTTTTAAAAGACATTTTCGCTAGAGATACAATTCTAAGTTGGCAGATATTTTCTCTCAGCTTTTTGAAGATATTTCACTGCTGTCTAGTTTCCATTTTACTGTTGAGAAGTCAGCTTAATTACATTCCTTTATAAATCTGCTTTTTCCCACTAACTCCTTTCAGGATTTTATTTTTCTCTGGCATTCTCTGGCATTGTCTGTTTCAACATCAGGCCTCCAGGTATCTATTTCCTTTCATGTATCCTGGGATTCATTGGGATTCCTGAATCTTAGGATTTATGCCTATTGATGACATCATACTTTGGGGGAAAAATGAAATACTGAGTCAAAGCAATTTTGTGCCTCTTTGATCAACTTGGAAGCAGAAATTCTAAGTCCACAGTCATTCCCAAGTCTACTCAAAGCTAAAGTCATTGTTTGGGACATAATGGACCAAGCCTAGGACACTAATAACTTCCAGCAGATTAAACCAAGATTTGCTAAGTATGCAATAGCTGAAATATAGATACTGCCTAAAAAGTATCTCACAGATGCAGGCTAAGTTTTGCATCTTGAAGGAACAGAATTCTAGAAAATTCAAATCATCTTGGAAAAGAAAGACCAAACCAGACTCTTTGGCTCTTTAATAATCATATTTGCAGGGTCATACAGCTAAATTCATCTATCATCAAGAATATGCCCGTTAACCTTAGTTTCTTTTTTGGAGCTAGACTACTATGGGCAAAAACCTCAAGCTGGAACTCAATTACTTTCCAGAGCTATTTCTCATTTAGCTATTAATTTTCTCAATTCTCCAAGTAGACTCAGAAAAATAAAAAATTGCCATCTCCCAAATTCTCTAGAATGGGAATGGGAGTCCTAGCATATGAAAGCTACTAGCAATTGTTAAAAAAAGAACGTACCAGTGCATTTCACTTTAGCCTCATCCAAAATTCAATCTCTCTAGGTTTAACAATTACGTCTTTGCTATAAGCTATGAGAACAGCTTTGATATCTGTTTCAGTAGCATTTTGTTAAACTATTAAGTTTCTACAAGGTGGACACTCATTATTCTTTTCATTCTCAGAATTCAGAGCCATGTAATTTCTTCTCAGATTAAAAACAAAAAGGAGGGGTTTCTCTTGTTTCAACCTGTAATCCAATCCCTGATTCACAAATGCATGCTGAATCGATTCTGCATTCCTGGGTTTACTTTGGCAAATAACTCATCAGCTGAGCCCAGTAGATCTTCCATCAGTGAGGCTTTTCTCTTACAGCTTAGTTCTATTTCATTGGAATAAAGCTTGCTTCCATGAAACTGCACCCAAATCACAGTCTATTTCCCCTTTTTCCCATCATCCCACTTACCACTGAGTCCTCTCTTCTGTTTATTCTATAATGATATCAGACGAGTGTATTACATAAGGAGTATAACTATTGAGTTGTTGTACAAAACTATGAAGGCTTGGATAGTTTGCTTAAGAGCTCAAAGTGAGTTACAACTTGAAAAAAGACAAGCACCCAGACTTTTCCGTTTTCAGATTCTGTAACAGGTGGCATTTGCCAGTATCTTTTACACAGGGAGGCTGCCACAAGGCCTGATACACAAGTTGGGGTGTTTATTCTGATCTTAATCCAGAAAAAAAAAGAGTATTAAATTGGGAAACATAGTACTGATCACATTCCTTGGGATCATGACACAAATTACCATTCAAGATCAAAATTTTCCTATATGTAAAAGGAACATGATAATCACTAAGATTTCCTTCAACTCCTGAATTCTGTACCCCATTAATTGGTTTTAAAAAGGTAGAGAGAATACAGATGGTTACAAAGTTGCACACATCTTACATACCCATTTTCAGCAGCACTAACGACATAGGGCTGTTTAGAGAAGTCTCTCGCTTTTGCCAAACATGTTACAGAAGCCGAATGACCAAACAGAAGTTCTTTAGCTGAAATCTGAAAATGATCAGGGTAAGCTTTTAAACAGTTGTAAACTTCTTAAGAATATAAACATCATTTTATGTGACTATTCATAATTCTGATTAGAAAATCCTGTTATATTATGTTTTTGCTCTACATACGTTTTAGGAAAACTGATTTATGCCACATGAAAATCCACAGAATAAAAAAAAAATCTATTTTTTTAATGTTTATTTATTTTTGAGAAAGAGAGAGAAAGAGAGAGAGAGAGAGAGAGCACAATTGGGGTTGGCGCAGTGAGAGAGGGAGACACAGAATCCGAGGCAGGCTCCAGGCTCTGAGCTGTCAGCACAGAGACCCATCCGGGGCCTAAACCCACGAACTGTGAGATCATGACCTGAGCCTAAGTTGGCACTCAACCAACTGAGCCACCCAGGCACCCCTAAAAAAATACCCAGATACAGGAATCGTGTTGTACACATTTTTTTGGTTTTTGTTTTCGGTTTTATATCCATCTTGACAACTAAACAATCACCAGACCTGTTTTACAACATCTAGGTTTTGAATACAAGTAAGTCAGTGTTGATGTTTATTATGCACAAAATGTGCCTCAAATGATAGCAGCATGTTAACGTGCAAATTTCAGAATGCAGAAATGAGTTTACAAAATAATACAAAGAAGGGGTGCCTGGGTGGCGCAGTCGGTTAAGCGTCCGACTTCAGCCAGGTCACGATCTCGCGCTCCGTGAGTTCGAGCCCCGCGTCGGGCTCTGGGCTGATGGCTCAAAGCCTGGAGCCTGTTTCCGATTCTGTGTCTCCCTCTCTCTCTGCCCCTCCCCCGTTCATGCTCTGTCTCTCTCTGTCCCAAAAATAAATAAACGTTGAAAAAAAAAATTAAAAAAAAAAACGAAACAAAATAATACAAAGAAAACATTACCCTTTTTGTAATCATTATAACCTTACTGTAACCTTATGTGGCTTCTTGCCTCAGAAATAAAAAGTAATAAAAACTAATTTTTCCACATTAAAAGTCAGATTTTAACTAAGCTCTTATTTAAAAACACCAATTTTTAAACATGAGTTTAAAAATATGGCATTGAAGGTTAATTCTTCCATTATCTCATGTGTGAAAGATGTCCAGTGCTCTTTGTTTTTATAAAACAAGATTGTGAAAATCAAATTACAAAACAGGAAACATGCAAGATCCCTTCAAATGGAGAAGAGGTTGTCAGTAGGGACTAAAAATTTAATTTGAATGACTAGAAAATTTGTAATAAAACTTATCCTATGGGTAATAATCTATTTCCAAATTAATTCATATTCATTATGCTTTTTCTGAACTATGTAAACATATCCATAGATGATAACCAAATCATATCAATGAGTACAAGTTATTTCAAAACACAATTGTTCTCTGCCTTCATTTTATTTCTATCATAATCAGCAATACTTCTCTAAAAGATGTTAGATTAAATTTCCAGTACTACAAAGAAGTTTTGTGGTTGGTTAGAACCATTTAAAACCCAAGTTCTTATTCCACCTTTTTCCTGGGAAATCCAGAAGGTCCCATCTCAGAAAATAACATACTGTCTTTCCCCATCATCACATTTGAGAACACATACCCCCAGGCATTTAACACCTTTCCATATATTACAGGCCAAATTAAGCAATGAATCAGGGCAAATCAAGGACATTCCCTCTCCTAGAGAAAATCCACTATGAATAAAACAGCATAAAGGAATTCCATTGCTTTGCATATGGAGTCCTCATTCTGCTACTAACTCCCCACATGTAGTTGAATAAGCTCTGACTCTTCAGTATAATCTCTTCATTTTATCATATTCTGGAACTGCTGTGAGGAATAACAACAACAACAAAAATCCACCATCATACCTGCTCATTGTCATGATGAAATCCATGGCACCTTTACTTCCATTCATGGGCTCTACCTGTATGAAGCGTTGCCAACCCCGCCCAATGCCAAGAGCTTCCAATAGCACAAATGGGAACACACAACTTGCTGAGCATCCACCATATCCAGGCACTAGTGCAACTATGAACAGGGTCTCATCCCCCATTTCACAGATGAAGAAATCAAGGCTCAATGAATATGTCATTTGTTTGACATCAAAGTTGGTAAATGTCAGAACTAGAACCTGATCAATCTCTCCATTCTCTTCCTATACACAATATTGCTACTCTTCAGTTTGTCATTGTTGTGTTTCCTTCTGAGTATTAAATAGGAAGAAAAATAGAACACAGCAACACTCAGGGAATATATCTGGAAGGATGTTCAACTCACCTTTCTCTATGCTTAAAAGTGTTAAAAATACCAGACAACACAAGTGAAGTAGTTCTTAGCATGAAACCTTGGAGAAGCTCCTCACTGGGAGACCCCACGAAGAGGTCTTTGGGAGTCGGACCCTGAGTTTGAGATGCATGTGTTGAGAAGCCCAGGACAGGGAGCTACTTATTCTCTAGCTTCCCGGTACCCTACAGTCCCACCACCCATGAACAGGGAAAAACTGACATGTGTTTCTAAACCCCTAATGAATACTTGGATGCTCCAAGATGTCCAGAACTTAAATCACCTCCTTTCCCTTCCTGTTCCTATTCTCTAATCATCTCTATTCCTTATACAAATACAGGATACCATCACACCACCAGTCCCACCCACCACTCAAACCCCAAATATAAGGTAACTTGACTTGACTGTTCCTGCACATTTACCCACACTCCAATCATTTGCTCAGTTCCTCCCATTCTTTCTTCTTAGTATCTTCCCAGTTTTCATCTCCTTTTCTTCCCCTCTGTCACTGACTTTGTTCATACTCAAAAACTTTCTTGCTAAATTAACGTAGAGGCTCCTACCATAGTCACTGTCCTTTATCTCTTCTCCCTCTGCCGTCAGTATGCCCTTGACATTAATACCAAATGATAGTCTAAATCACAAATATAATAATATAATATTATGTCATCTTCTTGCATAAATCATCTCAAAATCCCTTAATTTTGCCACTGCTTTTAATTAGCACATGGTATTAGTTCTTGCTAGTTAATTTTTTAAAATCTAAATCCCTCAGCCCTCAAGGTACTCAGAGTACCTTGTATTATCACATAAATGCACAGCATTAGCCAATATCCATCCTTTACTGCACTGCAGCCCCTTTGATGGCCAGCACCAAGTCTTCTCGTTCGTGTTTGAACCGAGGTACACAGCGTACTGCCTAACTTATATGTAGTCAATAAATGCATGTTGAATAAATGCTGAATAAATACAAGGAACGTACGTAAAAAGATAGAAATGCTAGGATTCCAAATTTCTTAAGCTTATTGCATCCTACCTATTATATAACACAACTACTCCAGCCAGAAACCACTATACTGAAATATTAAAAACAGTAGCAAGACATTTGAAGCCATTTAGAAGTGTGAGTTTAAACTCTAAGAGATAATACATGTGGTGGGCCACTCTTTTCAAAGCTCAACTGTTGCAATAAGACCAGTTCCTTCTTTCTGGGATGTTCATAAACACTGAGCTGAGCTGCTCTGCTATGCAGTTCTTGGCAGTCCTGCAGTGTAACTCTTCTGTGATGGGAGATGTTAATTAATTACACTATAAAATAGAATTACAATTAATTGTTAATTTAGGTTTTAAAGTGACAAACTTTAAAGGCTAAAAATAGTCTTTGATCTTTAAAAGGCTTCTTAATGAGGGCAGTATACTTTAAGTACATCATTAGTTTAAATGTTCAAATTGGGTCTAGAGGCTGCTAGCACTAAGCAAATATCTATTCCAATATGTTAAATGTTTATGACTTGGGACAGGGACAATTAATTGCCAATCAATGGGCCAAAACCTAGGTGAGGTCAGGTTCTGAGATAGGAAGACGACAATAGTAAAGTGGATTTAGAGCTTTTTGATGTGATCTTTAAAAATCACATGCAAGCAGAGACTAAAAGAATAGCAAGAAGGCCAAACTGACAGAAACACCCAGATAATTAAGATATTACTCATTTAGTTAATAGCGGTTTTCAAGGGTGCCCTTTGTTTAGATTAACGAGCCATAATTTTTAGAATTATACTTATATGTCTGTAGTTCAGTTACTTAAACATATAATTCAGGATGTAAAATGGTAACACTCAGCACAGCTTCAAGGGTGATAACACTTAGCTGGTAGCTAAGATTAGCAATATTCATAATAAAATTTTCAAATAGGATCTTGATCCATCATATAGTACTTCATTTTCTCCAAATTCAGAAGTAAAACCAATTTATTACTTCAGTAATCACCTACTTAACAATCATGCGAAACATCCACTGTCATTGCAGGAAGAATCAAATTGTGTTTATATTGGGAGTGCTTTCTGTTTCAATGTTAATCACTTTCACTAACCTTTAGTTCAGGTGAGAGATTCCAGAGACAGAGCTGACCTTCTTGACTTCCAGTCACAATGGTTTGCTGGTCATCAGTGATCATGATGGCAGTGATGCTGTGCAGAGGGGCCTTCTTCCCCCAGAGCGCCACTGCCTGCAGGGAGCACCTCATGCTGACAGAATCTTTAACAAACAGAGAAGGGAAGTGGACACAGTCATCGTTCAAAAATTTGGGAAGACTGATCATGTCACAAAGTGGACTCACCATGATCTAAACTCTGGGATGTATTCTCCCAGAGATGGGGAAAAGGGTGCTTCCCTGTCAATTAGAGGAGAAGGCACTCATTAGGCATTGAAATTACCATGCTCAGTATTAATCCATCAAAGAGAAATGGCTTTTATCCCAATTTGTGACTTTATTTATTTATTTTTTTAAAGTAGGATCCATACCCAGCAAGGAACCCAGTGCAGGGCTCAAACTCACAACCGTGAAATTAAGACCTGAGAGCCAAGATCAAGCGTCAGCCTTCTAACCAGCTGAGCCACCCAGGTGCCCTTCAGTTAGTAACTATTAATGCAGACAAAGAGAAGGATAGGAATAATCTACCCACTCCACACACAGCTCTGACTACGGGTGATCCTGACTTGCTCCAAAGCCCAGCTAGGCCTCTTAAGAAGAATAGAGCTGGCTACACACTATAATACAAAGACAGCTTTGCATACTTTTTCCCCCAAAACGTCATCACTTCACCTAAGTAACAAATATCTGAACTTTGTAATTAAGAAGTAAATCTTTCCTATAAAAACGGTCTTTTCTAGTCTTCAAAGATTCATGCATGATTGTCCTGATTTCTGTCATATTCATGTTCTGTTTTTAGTTCACTTATTTTTGTATTTGATATCCTTCTCAATAAGCATTTTCATGAAATTACTACCTTCATGTACAAGTTACAAGGGTTAAGATGAATAAGCAATTACCAAAAAAAGCTTGCCTGTATATCCCCCAAAATGATCTCAAATATTACCTAGGGATATGTGCATTACTGTTTGTGCCACACTGAGTTAAATGTTTCCCCCAAATAGGCATTCTTTTCTGAAATCACAAATAATTTGGTGATTAATCATGCTATAAATCTTTAGAGTAGATTAGTATGTTTCCTCTTATGACTTCATAGTATCTAAGTAGTCTTATTAAAAATGTCAAAGATAAGAGAGGGAAAAAGATGCCAAACTTACTTCCCACATTTGGCTTAAGAAAGTTAACAAAATGAAAAACCTTCTGTCCTGCAGGACTTCTGGTACTGAAGCATAAACAGGACAAGTGCCAATATAAGTTATTAAAATTTATGGTACATATTCTTTGTAATGTTTAATTACACATAGGCTCACACACATATAAACAGGGGTATGCACTACACTATGAACACAAATTCAATGTAGGCAGTGCTTGACCCATAAACTGGTTCCTTTCAAAAATTTACTTATAGTTCAGCTGTTTGGAATTCAATACCTACTTCCTGATGGTTCACTTCTTAGGTCAGTACACAAGTGGCCTGTACTATTCTTACCACAGGCCCCAGGCACCATGAAACTAAGATTTCTATGCGAAATATCTGGAACTTTGCAATTCAGACTACCAGAACCACACATATTAATCACATTACTAAGCTAACCAAAGAGTTCTGATTTCAATAACACTGTAATCTGAACTTGGACTTCTGCTTCAAACACAGAGAAAGAATGTTCTCTCTCTCTCTTTCTGTGTGTGTGTGTGTGTGTGTGTGTGTGTGTATGTGTACATGTGTTTGTGTGTTTTAATTGTTGCTTAATAGTCATGCTTTTAAATAAGTCTAGGAAATTCCAGGCATTACAAGTCTAAGAGAAACCTGAAATGAGAGCTGAGTCTGTACATGGATCTGTTGGCTAGATGTTTAAGTGTTAATCCCCACTTAAGGGCGAGAGCCCTTCCTTGCTCAATGAAATGGAATCTAAAATAACTCCAACATTACTCAGAAAGATAAGGAAGCTGATTTCCAAAACTCCCAAGAAAAACATGCCAAACCTGAACCACAAAACAGGTTTAATAAAAAATATCATGACATACATATAATGCCAGAATCCCCACGTGCAGAAACCCATGTAAAAAAGTGTCCTCAGGTCAAAGGTACCAGTGGGAAGCCTTTCAAAAACACTACACACTTATTAGACAATCTCAAAACTTTAAAAACATCAGGCCAAGTATTAAGAATGTAGAAGAACCGAACACATACACTGCTGTTAGAAATGTACAATGGAAAATAGTTTGATAGTTTTTTTTGTTCTACAAAGTGAAATGTGCTTACTACATGACCCAGTCAATTCATCCCTAGGTCTCACCCAAGAAGAAAAAAAAAAAAGCAAGTATTTATACAAAGACTTCGACCAAGTAGGATTCTATTTGTAATAGCTAAAAACTGGAAACAACTGAAATGTCCACTATGGGATGAATGGATAAACAAATTATGGGATAGCCACACAATAGAATACTATTCAGCAATAAAAAGGCATGAACTCTTAATCAGCACAACACAGATGAAACTGAAAATAATTATATTGAGTGAAAATAGTAGCTAAAAAGAATAAATACGGTATGACTCCATTTCTATAAAATTCTAGAAAATTCAGATTAATCCAGGACAACAGAAAGCAGGTCAGTGGTTGCCTATGGACAGGAGAAAGGGACAGGGATTAAAGAGTTTGCAAAGAAGAATGAAGAAACTTCTGAGGATGGTAGACATGCATTATTTTGACTGTAGTGATTGTCTCATGAATGAACACATTATGTTAAAACATATACAATTGTACATTTTCAATACATATACATAGACATATAAATACACTGCATTTCTGGTACACTTTAATAAAACTATTTTTTAAAAAAGAAAGCATTTTAAAAGATACTTCACAACCAAACTCCCAATTAAAAATTACAAAACATTCAAGAAAATAATACACCATAAGTAAACAGAAAGATCAGTACACCAGGAACTAACACTAACAGAAAAATATAAAACTTATTGCAAAAGAACAAATGTATTAATTTATTTTAAACTATTAAAGAGACAAAAGAAGAAATTTAAAACCCTAGGAAAAAAGACAGCCTACAAAAAAATAAACAGGTAGAATTTTAAAACAAACAGATACTACTTCTAGAAATAAAACATAATCATTGGACTATAACAAATGTCAAGAGAATAAATCAAAATAGACTCAAGTGAAGAGAGAATCAATGGACTTAAAGATAATTCTCAAGAAATTACCCAGAGGAAAAAAAGGCAAGGAGTAGTAAAGAAAGAGAACGTTGAATGAAAGAAATCAGGGAGGTAAGATCAAACAGAGATATTAAGAGGTATAGATAACACAATGAAAACACCCAACATTTATCTAATATAAGCTCCAAAAAAAGGTAGAACCCTTTCTCTTCCTGGCTAGTTCACTCCTAAAACCACTGGACAGAGAAAACTTGCATGGAGTGTCAGAGCTCATATAGGGTGAGGAGGGCATCTGAGAACACATGAAATTGGAGCCCAGGAAGGATAAGTAAGATGCCCAAACACGGGGCAGGTCTGTGTGAGATGCACAACCCAAGCAGAGTGAAGAGGGACAGTGTGTGCAAGGCTGTCTCATACTGGGTGTTGGGGCCTGAGCAAGAAGGAAAGAGTTGACACTGTGAGGATGATGAAGGAAGTGGGGTTCAGAAACCTGGGTAAGGTGAGAAGGGTATTTGTACTGAAGGCAGATCCAGTGAGGAGTGCTAAAACCCAAGCAGGGTGATGTGGTTTTCATGCTTGGTAAGGAGGTACTGGCACAGGGGAGTCAGGCTGGACAGGGTGATGTGAACTTCCATTTACAGGGATGGCCTGGCCTAGAGTGAAGGAGCCCAGGGAGGCTAAGGAAGGCAGGCATGCTGGGGGAGGTTCAGCATGTCTTGGCTGTATGAGAAGGAGCACTAACAGAAAGTGTAACCAGACACAGGGAATACAGTGGCTGAGCAGAGTATTCACATCTGGGGTTAGCAGACAGATCCTCCAGGGGTGATGAAGCCATCTAGTGATCAGGAGGACATCCGCACAGAAAGCAAGGCAGCAGCATTTACAGAAAATTGGTTACATTCAGAGTAATTGATCAAATAATGAATATGTTAACAAGATAACAGGAACCAGGTTTCTTATTACCAGAAAAGAGAGTTGGAAGTAGAAAAGGAAGAAAACTGGAACACTCTCTGTGATGTTGCAATGGAATCAGAGGTTTTGGTATGAAGACATGCACCACACGTACACACTTGCCATCTCTGTTCCCCAAGGGCCGAGGAGCAGCAACAACTCCCACAGCAACAACTCACTTAGCATCTTCTAAATACTATTCTTTTTTTTCCCTTTTTAAAGTTTATTTATTTATTTTGAGAGAGGGAGAGAGAGAGAGAGAGAGAGAATGCAAGAGTGGGGCAGTGGCCGAGAGAGAGAGGGTGGGAGAGACTCCCATTCAGGGTTCGAACTCAGGAAGAGTGAGATCATGACCTGACTGGAATTCAAGAGTCTGATGCTTAACCAACAGAGCCATCCAGGCACCCCCTCAATATGAGTCTTTACTAAAAGGAGCTGGGTTTCTTGGGAAATTGGTTGATTCCAGGTGTGGAACAGGGAAAATCCAAAATGATACCGGCATATATTATTGTTGAAAGCAAGGAAGTACTCAGAGAGTGACAGGATGTATCAAAGGGACACAGAAGCCAGGTTGAATGGACGCCCACCAGCCAAGTTATGGACAATATGGACATCAAAGTGAATCATGCTAGGAACAGATTGAAACTCATGGAATAAAATGGGAAGCCATGCGTTCACACTGATAATTACTAATTACAAAGGGGAAAAAAAGAGTAACTTTACAGAAGAGCCTAGCAAATGATGGAAGTAAGCATCCGTGATGTGGCATATCAGAGTCACATGCCACTGGATAGGATGCTGTGAGGCGAACTCGGCACTACTTCTGTGGTGTTCCTGCCAAAGATGTGTGACTTGAATCTAATGGTGACGAATACAAACCGAAGGGCTCTGTGAAATAACTGAACTGTAATTTTCAAAAAGGTCAAAGAAGGTCATGAAAGTCAAAAACTAAGAAACCGCTCCAACTAAAGACTCAAGAGACAGGACAACTAAATGCAAGACA